CTATCTATCTATCTATCTATCTATCTATCTATCTATCTATCTATCTATCTATCTATCTATCTATCTAATCTATCCATCCCATCAGGGTCCATACTGCTCTTTCTTTTCCCTTCCTCCTCCCATAAAGAAGACAGACAATTCATGGGCCAAAGCCTCAGTGACTACTATGACTGTCATGTTGAGGTTTCTAAACCCAGATAACAGCAGCCTCCGTTTTTTGCTATACTTAAGTACATAATAATGCTTTTTGACTTTGCATTTAAACACTTGTCTTTCTCTTACTAAATCTGTGATAGAAATCTCTTTTAACTCCAAATTGTTCTTGATTCTTTTTGACTGGGATGAATATATTCATTTCAGTTCTAATAGATCTAATATACCGTCTTTTGTTGGACACCATGGACCAATGGGGTTGGAATTGGCATATTGAGTATGGCCAGTTTACAATACCCTTTTGCACCAACTCTGAAGACAATAATTGAATCTCATCTCAGGCTGCATTTCTAATGTATTTTTGCTTTCAGAATATAAACTTCCTCACCTATGCTTTTTCCAGAGTGCTAATATTGGCAGACATAGATGATTATTGTGTTTGCTTATATGATTATTGGTTATATTGAAGATTTTCCCTTCTAGGGGGAGGTAATAATACAACTTGAAAAGATAATTAATCTTGCAAAAAATATTTAAGAACAAATGAGATGACAAATCAGATTAATTAGACTCCTTGATATTTATGGATGCTCTTGTTTATCCACTACTTGTTTAGTAAATATGGGATAAAATTAGATATGACTAGTTTTCTAATAGAGTTGATAGGAATGGACATTTTTGAGAACTATATACAATTTCTTTTTTGCTCTTGGGGGATGTCCAAATGTCAGATAACCATGTAAAATGCAGGCCACGCATAAGTTGCTTATTCTCATTATTTTAATTTTTAGAAAGTGGATCATTATTGCAGTTATTGTTGGAAGGGAATTATGAGTCCATCTTTCTAAGTAAAGCAGTCCAGAATGTCTTCACCACATCTTCAGGAAAAGAGGACACCATTGAAAGCAACTTGGAAAAGCAGATACAAGCTTATCTAGATTGTTCTACAGCAGACATTGATTCTATTGAAAGGTAAATTGTTTTGAAAAGAGAATAATGCTTTGCTTGCATTTTAACCACAATCCCCCTCCAATGGCCAATTTCAAATGATCACAGAAAATATTCAGAGTGTGTCTATGGAGATTCTCAATCTTCCAGGTCATGGTTGTCCCAAAGATACTTTTCCAAAAGGCAACTGGACTTTCTTGTTTTTTTCCTTCTTCAGATCTGAAGAAGCTTCTTGAATGAGAAATGAAATGTTTTCAAGGAAAAAAAACAAGAAAGTCCAATTTCCTTTTGGAAAAGCAGTTTGGGACATTCAGAATGTGTATTATAAGCATTGTGGTGTTCAGTGTTTATTGGCTTCAGCTGTAATGTGGGAGTAGCTCATTCCCTCTCTGTTGTTACTATAGTAATGAAAAATATGTCAAGGAGTTAGTTTCACGGGGTGAATTAGTACATGTATTGTTAAGATTTGTAATAATAGAAAATTATGTTTGCTTTAACGTAGGCTTCCAATCCTGCTTTTTCTGTTGTTCTTCCATTTAGTACCCTGAGTTTTAGTAGAAATTTTGAAAGAAGATATGCCCACTCCAGTTCATATATTCACATTTGACTGGAAACTACCTGAAAATTTTAGTAATGTGGGGTTTCTGAGTTTTGTGACTTTTCAGTTACTATATCCATTTGTTGGTGTTTGCCCAGACTGTACTAGATGTAATTAAAATACCAGTGAATAAACAAACATTCCTTGTTTATACTTCTTAATATTGTATGTTCAATTTATGATATTTCATGTGTATCATTACTGAAAAACATGAAGATGCTTTACCCTTTAGCTTCATTCTGCTGTGTTTCAGCTGGCCCTTCTTATACATTCAAGCCTCTGTTCTCACCGAAACAAAAAATTCACCTCAAAGATAAGATGTATTGGCTGGGTTCATGCATGACATCAAGACATAATTTGTTTAATTGCAGTTTGTTAAATGGCTAGTCACATGTTTCACAGTAACTCAGAACTAGGTGTGATATGAATTTTGTCTGTCAAATTAATATTTGGTGGTTTAATGATTTGAATGAATTGTAGTAATTATAGTAATTTGAGATATTAATCTTATGACTGAAAGGACTAAGGGAGACTTAGATATGAGATGTGTTGTCTTCACACACTTTCAAAGGTTTCTTTTATGCCTTGCCTAGTTGCATGATGTTTTAATTTTATTCTAATAACTTAATTTTATTTGTGAGGGACGCAGTGGCTTAGTGGCTAAGACACTGACCTTGTCAATCTGAAGGTCAACAGTTCAGCGGTTCAAATCCCTAGTTCCATGTAATGAGCTTGTTGATGAAAACGAGGCAAATATTCTAATTCAAATCCTACTAATTTGCATTTTTCTAAGGGGTGCGGTGGTTCAATGGCTAAGATGCTGAGCTTGTCAATCTGAAGGTCGGCAGTTCAGCGGTTCAAATCCCTAGTGTCATATAATGGAGTGAACTCCCATTACTTGTCCCAGCTTCTGCCAACCTAGCAGTTCGAAAAAATGTAAAAATACAAGTAGAACAAATAGGAACCACCTTTGGTGGGAAGGTAACAGTGTTCTGTGTGCCTTCGGCATTTAGTCATGCCGGCCACATGATCATGGACATGTCTTCGGACAGCGCTGGCTCTTCGGCTTTGAAACGGAGATGAGCACCGCCCCCTGGAGTTGGGAACGGCTAGCACATATGTGTGAGGGAAACCTTTACCTTTACCTTAATTTTATTTACCATTCTGATTTAGTAGTTCTTGATGGATTAGTATAGAGAAAGACATGAAAATATTGCCAGTTTTGAAATTCTAAATTTCATGTATCATCTTTTATTTTATTATAGACTGTAGTCTAATGGGATACATGCACAGAGCTAGGATTCCTGTAAAATTCCAAATCCAATAAATATTGCGGCAGTGCAACGATTCTAAACTTATTGACAGGTCTAACCCCCACCTTCCACCATAGTCTGTTCTTCTTCCACATTAATTAGTGAAAAACAGACTTCAATTTCCTTGATATAGCCAAAATAATCATTGGCTTTTCTAATACTTCTGAAATTTTAGGAAATTGTATTCCTTGTAATTAATCAACTGTATCCAAGGATACCTGAATGGTGGCCAGGAGAGATTTCTCCTCAAGCTATTCTCAGCAATCAGGAGACTTAAAAGGAAACCATCGTAAAGAGGAACAATGACTTTGCTTGTCATAAGCTGGCTGGGAAAGACACAAATGAAGATTACATGACCCTTGGACACTGCAGTGGCCATAAATATATGCCAGTTGCTAAACAACTAAATTTTGATCATGGAATTATGGGATGTTGTAACAGCTTTAAGTGTAAGTACCAATCATGAATCACTTTTTCAGTGCCATTGTAAACTTAAATGCTCGCTGAATGAGTGGTAAATTGAGGACTACCTATATTTACTGAAACTGACTTTCTGCTCTTAGTCATTCACCAAAGGTTTTATTTTGTCAACATCTTCTAAAAAGTTCTGTGTAAGCTATAGGTTGGCTATTAAATATAATAAATATAATATAAGAAATATAATAAATTCAATTCAAATTCAATAAAGAATGACAAATTTATGTTCTGTATTCATGTATATATAAACACAACATCTTGTGTATTGCAGGCAAAGTGTGGTGTTCCTCCTTGGTGTAGGGAGCTTACAGCTGTTTGCACAGAGCAACTGGACTGGACCTCCTCCTGACTTACAACCTCAGGATTTTCTTCCACCTGAAATATTGCAACAATATAATGAGGTATTTTTCCTCAACTCCAAATAATTGTGTGACTGAAAAATGCTTCTTTTGGTATTAGAGAGATGGCAAATTGCTGGCTGCATACCTTTTTTATTTATTTTATATTTTAAACATAAATTTACAAATGATGCTAATAAAGGAAAAGTCATAAACATAAATTATAATAGTATACTATATAGATTGATCTTTGGTCTTTACAGTACATACTCCTTCGGTTATATTTAAAGGTTTAGTTGTTAAACAATGTCACAATTCATTTTATTACAATTCCTATGTGCACTATTAATTGTTAGTGGTATGTAGGACGGTCTCCTGTCTGTTTTTGTTGATTATTTGGATTGGATCCAGTGATGTTCTGCTGGCGGGACAGGTGCTTCTTCTGGATGAATTCTCTGATTCTACTTAGCTTTGAATTGTTTCAGAATATGCAACAGAAGGTTTAGTTTTCTTTTAAGTGTACAATTCCTTCATTGTCATTATTTGACATTGTTTCTTGCTCTTAATTGATGCCATGCGAATGTGTTTCCCTAACCACCAACATTTAAAGTAAGTGAACAGTCATTGCTGGTGGATTGGATTCTCCTTCCCTGTAAAATCTGTCTTTTGGGGAGCAAAGAGATTGCTGTTGTGCAAGGGGAAGTTAACTAATTTTGGATATAGCCAAAGCTAGGTGGTTTAGAGTAAGTCAGGTAATAGGCTATGCCAGGGCTGTCAAACTCCTTCCCGCAGGCTGATGTATCATGCGCTGGCCATACCCACGCCTGGTTTAGTGAAGGGGAAACAAATCCCGATATGTCATGTAATGCTGCCATGACAAAATAAGTTTGACACCCCTGGGCTCTGTGGAGCATTTGCAGGGATGGTTTGCAAAGTGCCCATTTTCAATGCATTTAACAGTCCCCTCTTCTAGAAAGCTTGGTCCAGCTGCTTTGAGAATCTCCCAGGTTCTTTCCTTAATCCTGCTCAAGCATAACTATTGTGGTGAATGTATTGCCATTTATCATGTATGTATGTGTGTGTGCAGACTCTAAACAAAGACTGTGAAGCAGCCATAAAAGTGAGCTGTTCAGAGGTTGTGGTTCCCCTCCTATATGAGCCTTCCCCCCAGTGTCAGCATGGCAGAGTTGGCAGTAAAGCTGCACTTGAAATAGGTGTGGGAGTGACAGTTAAAGCAGCCGAAGAAATGAAGGTATTTTACCTTCAGAAAGCGTGGATGGTCCAAAAGACAGGAAAAGAAGTATAAAGGCCCAGCGAGATGAAATCACAACACAAAAAAGAGGCTGACCATTAAAAGGAAAAATAAATCCCAGAGAGAGGGGATTTAAGACAGAAAACGTTGATGCCTACCAGTGGTGGGATTCACTTATTTTTGCTACCGGTTTGCAAATGTGAGCGTGCTCGTGCATGCGCAGAATGCTTTATGTCAGGGTGGGTGGGTGGAGCCTCCAGCAGCCGTCGCTACCGATTCTCCCGAACCGGTAAGAACTGGCTGCATACCACCTCTGATGCCTACTAATAATAGTATAGAGCACAGCATATAGGCAATTGTAATAAAATAATAGTGATTGAATAATAATAGTATAGAATATAGGAACTGTCATAATAATACAACCTAGTAATATAACAGTTCATTTAGTGACTGTTCAGTTACAATTGCACTGAAAAGTGACTTATGTTGGTTTTTTCAAACTTATGGCCATTGTAGCATCCCCGTGGTCATGTGATCAAAATTCAGACACTTGGCAACTGAATCGTGTTTATGAAGGTTGCAATGTCCCGTGTCATGTGGTCACCTTTTGTGAGCTCCTGACAAGCAAAGTCAATGGGAAAGCCTGATTCACTTAACAACTGCATTACTAATTTAACAACTGCAGTGATTCACTTAATAACTGTGGCAAGAAAGGCTGTAAAATGGGGCAAAGAGTGCTTAACAACAGAAATTGGGGTCTCAATTTTGATCGTTAGTTGAGCGACCTGTAGTAATTATCATAGTAATGTAGCAATATGACGGACATATATAATTTGTGAGTTTTATTAGTTTAGTTTTTGTAGTTTTATTAGAATTTGTAGGCCGCCCTTTTCCCTGAGGGGACTCAGGGCGGCTCACATAAAACTGGGAAGGGGGGGATACAAACGACAAGATAGAGACATATAATAAAATGGTAGGCAACATACATTCATCATTCGGGAGGGGTAACTATCCTTATCCCCAGGCCTGACGGGCGAGCCAGTTCTTCAAGGCTGTGCGGAAGGCTTGGACGGTGGAGTTGCAGATAGATGGTGCCTTTGTCTTCCACTTGCTCCAAAAGATCTCTTTGAAACTGAATCCAAAGCATTACAGGTGGTCCTCAGCTTGTAATGGGTCACTTAACTATTCAAAGTTATAATGGATGATCCCAACAGCTATTTACAAGCTATTTTTGCAATTATGATGGCTGCAAATATGTATCCCATAGTTGCTTGATTGTGTTTTGGGTGCTTGGCACCTGGCTCACTTTTATGATTGTTTGCAGGATCCTGCAGTCATGCAACTGTGATTTTCATTCTGTTTTGCTGATTTCCTTGATTTTACTTCTGGTTTCTGGCAAAAAACATCCATTGTGGAAAATTAGTTCACTTAAACCATGCTATTCACTTAAAAATAGCTGCAAAAAAAATGTAAAAAAATAATAATTTGGTCTGGTTATGTGGTGCCATGACTTACGACTATAATTCCAGGCTCAACTACCATCATAAGTTGAGGACAACCTGTACACAGCCACTAAACTACGGTGTTTTAACACGGATGTTGTATTGTGCCTTCTAAAATAATGCGAAGCTGCCTTATATGATTTTCTTTTTTACTGTTCCAGACCAGTGCATTGTCAACTGCTATCTTAGGGATGATGGTTCTAGATGGTGAATCAATATACAGCTTGGCCTCCCAACCTATCTTGTTGATGCTGGCTAGAGTCATCCTTGTGAATTCCAGAAATAAGTTAGAAGCTATTCAGGTAAATATGACTCAGTAGTTAAAGTGCAGTACTGCAGGCTACTTCTGTTGCCTGCTGTCTACCTGCAATTGGGCAGTTCAAATCTCATCAGGCTTAAGGTTGACTCAGCCTTTCATCCTTCCGAGGTGGGTAAAATGAGGACCCAAATTGTTACGGGCAATATGCTGGCTATAAACTGTTTAGAGAATGCTGTAAAGTGGTATATAAGTCTAAGTGCTATTGCTATTGCTAAATACCTAAAAGCTATTCAGCTATGTAAAGAAAAATATGATTGAATAATTGTTCTTCTTTCCAGATTAGGAACCATTAAAGGATCAAGGCCATGTTTTTCAGGCTATGCTTCTTTTAGATGTTATTTTATTCTTTCACAGCCATAGGAAACTCATGCAAGCACATAAATGCCAAATAATGCCATAATAAATGCCAATGTTTTGAATATTGAAAGGTCCTTTGAATTTAGTCGATCCATTTACCTTTGCAGTTCACTTTATCATACCTCATATCCTGGTGAGCCCCTTGTGAGCTTTTCTGAGTTCTCCCTCGGCTGTGACTAAACTTGGCATTTTCAGACAAAAAAGAAACTGTTCTGCCCTTGAGTTGTGCGTCATTATTTATTGATTGGATTTATATTCTACTTCTTTGTTCAAGGATTGCTCAAGGGCGTTAATGTAAAAATACAAAAGTACAAATTAAAACAAAAAGTAGCGACAATTCAAATGGCAAATACTAAAAAAAGCAACAACCCATATTTAATCTAGACTACAGGTGCCATGATCTTTTTTTCAGATCTTCTCATTGTTAAACACTGTTTTAACTGCCAGGTGCATGAAATAAAACCAAATAGAAATACATCAACCTGATGTTTAAAAATATATCTATTTTCTCACTTTTAGACATTGCCCTGGTGGACACTGCGATGTATTAACCTCCACCAGCAGCTGCTAGAAGAAAAGTCACCTGAACTCTTTGCTGTTGCCCAGGCCTGTATACAACAAGGTATAATTGACATTGTCATTAACTATTAATGGAGATTCATTCTTAGTTTATAGCAGGGGTGTCAAACTCAAGGCCAGTGGGGTGGATCCAGCCCACCGGGTGCTTAGATCTGGCCTGCGGGACCTCCCTGGAAAGAGTGAAGGGCTGGCCTGCGGTGCCTCTGCCAGCAAAAACGGAGTTTGGGAGAGTCGTGTTTTAGCTGGCAGAGGGTTCCAGGAGGCAGTCACAGATGAAAATGGAGCTTAGGTGCCTGTTTTCTCTAGCAGAGGGTTCAGGTCACCATAGGTGTCCCCCGACACGAGTGACGTCAACTGGCCACGCCTACTCCAGCCCCCTGAGGTCAAATACAACCTTGATCTGGCTCTCAATGAAATTGAGTTTGACACCTCTGGTTTATAGGGATTGAATTGCTACCTCGAAGGCTCACCTTATTTTTTAGGATTCTCTTTAATCCGAGAAAACCCTAGGAACAAATGACTTTCAATGCAATTTGTTTCTGATGTAAGAAATCCTTATTCCGAAGGTCATCTTGTTTAAATTCATGGTCTCTGGCTATTCTTAGCAGTGGATGAGACGAATGAACCATATTCAGTTCTGTCCATGAATTGTCTAGCATTTCATTTGAACTAGGAATTTTGGCCTCTTCCACATAGAATAAGCCTAAGAAAAATATCACAATGCTTTCCTAAATGTCATAGTGTAGCAGTGGAAAAATCAGCCAAGCATCTGAATTTTGATCACGTGACCACAGGGATGCTGTAGCTGTTGTAAGTGTGATAAACAGTCTTAAGTCCCCCTTTTTAAGTGCTGTTGTAACTTCGAATGGTCATTAAATGAGCTTACAATAGTTTACAGAGCTTACAAGCTTACAGAGTTAACAGGAGTTCAATCCTGACCAGTTCATGGTTGACTCAGCCTTCCAGCCTTCTGAGGTTAAATGAAGATCCAAATTGTTGGGAGCAAAATGCTGCCTCTGTAAATTGCTTACAAAGGGCTGTAAAACACTGTGAAATGGTATACAAGTCTGAGTGCTATTGCTATTGTCTTTGTGCCATTATTGACTCCTGGCAATAAACAGTTGATAAAAGACTCTGTGCAGCCTCATTATATGAGTGGGAAATATATTCTCCTTATGTTCTGCTTGCAGACTTTAAAAATTGACTTTCTTAAAAAAAATAAGATGCTGCTACTTGAGATAATGTACCATTTACTTGTTTATTTTTCTTCTTACAAAATAACATTAATCTTTATTTAAACTAAGATGCTTCTATGAAGGCAAATTAAGAAATAAGGCAAATTAGGTTTGCAAGATAATACATTGTACTTTAGACCAAGATTTCTCATATTTAAAAGCATATTATATCATAACCATATTAGATTTGTCAGTATACTAAGCATCTTTTTATAGAAATTACATCATTGCATTATTACTAATATCTTGTGACTTTCATTTTAAAAATATGAAATGCTTGTTTAATAAATAGAAAATATTTAATAGACCTATAATGCAGAATTATAATTCTTTTATATTATATATTTTATATATAAACATCCAGTTTTTGTTCTCGTTCTCTCCCTCCCCCCCCTCAATCTCTTTCTCAAAAAATAAAAACAAAAACAAATCCCTTCTCACTTTGTGTGTAATATGTGTCTTCCTCAATCTTGGGTCCTCTTAGGCCTGGGAATTTGAGGGTTCTGTGCAGTATCTTAGCTACCACTTCACTCTTCTGGACAGAATGCTCTGATGCTGTTCCTGGGATCTCTTGAAGCCACTCCCTTGTCTTAAGAGTCACTGCTCATTGAATTAAAGGCTTTTCCTAAAGTTAATCCAGGCTGTTCTCAGATTGGTCTGTCTAGACCTTGAGTCTTGGGTGACTTGTCTATCTCTGAGCAATTGGTGTTTTCAACCTCTGATATTGCTCCTAATGCCATTCAGAGCTGTGTTCATGTACTGATCCGTATGCTCCTGTGACTTGGATATTATGATGCCTGATAAGACTTCCCATGTTGTGGGGAGGCTGGTTGTAGTTGACAGAAACTGTTCCCTTGTGGAGGTCTTCTGTGATCAGCACTGTCCTTCCTTGTGTTACTCTATCTGGGTGGGAGCTTGCTGGCTCATCTGTGCTGCTAAGCATTCATGTGCTGCTGCCGTTAGTGTCTTTAACTAGGAGAAGTGGATCATGTTCAGCCCAGGTGCTGCCCAGTTTTCATGTTCTTGATCTGTTATTGGATGTCTGCCACTGTTATTGTGAATGGTTCCTCTTCTGGGAGATTGCTGTGATCTGCTTTCAGGTCCTGCAGCCACTTTGACTGGTATTATATGTCTTCTCTTTCTCCCATATGTTCTTCTGGTACTTTTCAGTTTCTGCTATTGGTGACTGCTGTTACTGTGTTGTTGTACTGCAGTTGGAAGTACACTTTGGATGGTTCTTTGGACATCAGGGCATTTATCTTGTTAGCCTCTGCTTCTCTAGTTTATCTCCTTAGTTCGGTAGCCAGTGCTATGAGTCTTTGTTTAGCAGTCTAGCAGGACATGGAGTCAGGTCCTTATATTTTTTCAGTAGGTGAGACTATATCTTTAATTTCCACACCCTTCTGTAGTTCTACAAGTTGAGTAATTACTCCCTGAGTTGCTTTAATTTTAGCCGTTAACCAGGGACATTATGTACTGTTATGTACTGTTGTTCTTGATCGTATAGCCAAGCATCTCTAGGGTTACAGCAGCAATAGCATATACCAGTTCATTAGTTTGAGTTACAGTGGGGCTCTCTTGGCATTTTCTAGCATACGGTCTGATGGTGCTTCTCCCCTGAGTCTTGGTAATCAGTTTTGAGTATTGGCTGTAGCTACTGTAGTTTGTCCAGGAACTTATACCTCAAAAGGCAGCTGTGTTTTGTAATGAAGGGAGAGGCAGTGATGTTGGCTGCATAACATGTGGCTGCTCATGTGGTTATTGTTCTAGGTCATCTTGAGTCCAGTATGTAATGTATGGTTGGTCTATCTCAAATTGTGAATGCAGCTTGTTCTTCACTATTTTGAAGCTTTGGTTAACTAGCTGTCTCTCCATTAATGTGTTTGTAGGTCTTCCATTGTTCTATAGTTCCCTCATATGTTTCATATATCCCCTCTCCCATTAGGTTTACTATTGTGGTAGCATTCTATCAAATCCAAGTTCTCTTGTCTAGTCCATGTATGGTTTGTTTCAGTAGTCCTCTAATTGTCAGATTGTCCTATTTTCCAAATGTCTGATGCAAACTTTGTTAATTTGGTGACCGAGATGGCATCGTTTCCTTAGTTCAAGTCACTCTCATATTTGAAATAGGCAGGCAAAGTAAGTAGCACCCAGGATTTGAACCACAGTCACCTGCATCAAAAACTGGTGCTCTTAGCACTACACTATCCAGCTGATGTGGTGTGTATGTTGTATGAATATCCATCCAGCTCCTCTTTAGATTTGAAAACAGATACAAAGCCACATGTTTTCTATAATAAAATTTTATTACTCTTTATCTTATCTGTGTCCTTGACCAAATGCTTATGAAAATTTTTAAACCCTTAGAAATAAATTGCTTTACTTCTGGGAAAACAAATTATTTGGAGATGAATATATGCCTGTAATTCATCCACTCTTTTAAATTGGTCTAAAAATAAGCCTTTTTTTCATCATCTTAGAGAAGTGAACTTTATGTCAAGTGTTTAATTCTTAAGACCTATTTAAAAAAAGAAAAGAAAATACTGCTTCGGGTACAAATGATTGCATTTGGGTTTGAAGAAAAAACTCTGCAGGAAAATAATGCCTTTTTTCAAGATTGTCATTTTTTTGTCCAATAGAGCAATGAAGAAATTTTCAGTTATTGATTAAGACTGACATTGGAAATGTATTACATGTGTTGAACAGATTCTCTTTTTCTCTCCCTTCAGTTTTTCTCCCTTCCCTTTTACCTTCTTTTATGAGTATATTTTACCACTGATATGTTGATCTCTTCTATACTCAGAATTGTTTCCTAGACTAGTATTTGCTCTGAGGTGAATTGTATTTGTCATTTTCTGAAACCATGTTTAGAGCACCAACTTCAGACCAACTGCCAAACATCGCAGTCACTGGTTTTGGTCTCAAAAAATAAGGATCTTCATCTCTCAGAGAGAAAAATGTTTGCCCTTAAGCAAAAATCTGTAGCAGAGGTGGTATTCAGCAAGTTCTGACCAGTTCTGGAGAACCCGTAGCAGAAATTTTGAGTAGTTTGGAGAACTGGTAAATACCACCTCTGACTGGCCCCGCCACCATCTATTCTCTGCCTCCTGAGTCCCAGCTGATTGGGAGGAAATGGAGATTTTACAGTATCCTTCCCCTGCCACATCCATGATGCCATGCCCATGAAGCCACACCTGCAGAACGGTAGTAAAATTTGTTGAATACCATCACTCATTTGTAGTACATATTGGAACGAGACAGATAGAAATATGGTTAAGAGTTAAATCATCTACTCAAATATGTACAGTTATACAGAAAAATGGAATGTGGATTTGAATACAATGGTATTCAAACTAGGCCTCAGCAGGTTCTAAGGTGGTTTCAGACTTTATAGTAGTGTTTCTCAACCTTGGCAACTTAAAGATGTCCGGACTTCAACTCCCAGAATTCCCCAGCCAGCATTTGCTGGCTGGGGAATTCTGGGAGTTGAAGTCCGGACATCTTTAAGTTGCCAAGTTTGAGAAACACTGCTTTATAGTCTTATAAATGCTGACCATTAAAAATTAAAACAGAAAATAAAGTCTCTGTGTGTGGGGGGGGGGGGGGGCTCTTGGCTATTTATGTATCATTTTTCATGAGGTTTGGAGGTTGCCAAACTGGGAAGTTTGTAGTTAAAACTCGGTGTATGAAAATGCAGATTAAGCAGGTCCGCTTTCAATTTAAACTTAGTTTATTTGCCTAGGGAGTAGTGAATCTGGTATGTATTTTTCTGCTTTTCGTTATGTTTTCTTCACATTCTGTTTCTTAATCTTTCTTTTCCTTTTTTCCAGTTTTTGAAATTGAGACTTTATTCAACGATGATGAATGTTGGCATCTTGCTGTTCAATTTCATCTAGAATGTGCTTACACATTTTTGAATTATTACGAGTATAAAAAAGCCAAAGAACATTTCCTTGCAGCTAAAGACATAACTAAGTTACAGATTGAATTGACAGGTATGTTCTTTTCCAAGTTCTTGAATATTAATCTTTAACCCTAACTGTGTCTGCATCACTTGACAGTTTAAAAAAGAAAAAATGGCAAAATACTGAAGAGGGCAACAGTCTCTGTAATACTTTTGGTGTGCTTCTGAGAAATTATCTTTATTAAAATTCTAGATTAGTTTCAACAGTTTACTAAAATTGAAGTAAAATTCTGAAAATCTGTGGAAGGCTGAAATCTTTTATACACGCAGGGGGATTTTCTATTGCCCCATGTGCTCTCTCAAATCTGTCTTGGAAACACTGTGTAGTAAATTTTGTGGCTATGTGAGTCCTGTAATAGGAAATGGCATTTCTCCATCCTTCCTTTGAACTGTATTGATTTGTTAAATTTGCATCCTTCACCAAAAGATAAGACCAATACACCAATAAAACATCAATAAAAGGCAAATAAAATAAAAATAAAATAGGCCTTGCAAAAACTAATAAAAACAATTTATAGCAATAAATTTGCATATAGTTTCTTGACTCATGATCTAATTTAAATGTGTTTAAATGTTTTTGAGGTGAAAGTTGTTAAAAGACGGACTAACTGACCTCTTGACAAGTAAAGTCTTCCCTTGAATCTCTGTCTCAGATGTTTGCAGAACCTTAAAGCTGAATAGATTCACTTAAGAGAGACTGAATGGAATCTAATTCAGGAAAACTAAGTGTTTTTAGATCTCCGTACCACCCATTTAATCATCCTGTGTAATAGAATGGAAGGCAGAGAAAGCAGAAAATCCAGCTTACATTTATAGAAGCTTCTGCTGAATCCAGGCTCCTTTCATTAATGGAAGGGAACCATCCAGCCCTTTGTTTAGAGTGTAACAAGCATAATTTCATATATGGTATTGTGACTTCAAAGTTGCAAATTTTCTAATTTTCCCCAACTCTCTTTACTTGAACCCAGTATCTGTTATGAAGATTCCAGCGCTATAATAAAACCCACCTATACAGAATCTGTTCTTGGTATTTTTTCCAAAGGTTAATGAGTTTTATGAAGTCCCCATAACCCAATTTATGCCATTTATCTTCATTGACATGCAAGACAGATACCCTGTCATAAGAGCAATATAATGTGCATTGCATATTTCTAGTAGGCATGGGGAAGAGGAAATTGTGAAAAACACCATTGGAATAATAATCCAGACACTTAGCTTCAGTCTGTAGCCCCAAAAACCCTCAAAAACCAAATTAAATCTTAGAAACTGAATTGAAGATAGCAAGATTATGCCTCCCCTCTGTCACACCTAAGTTGCTGCTCATTATGCTGACAATGTTGTATACTCTAGTGTGAGAGTTTTGAAAAGTACATAATTTGGGTACATAATTGTGTGCATTGCATTTGGCCATTGACAGCCATTCTGCACTTTATGACTGCCTGATGCAGAAGGAAAACAGCATTAAGGATAATAGCCAAAGAGTTTCTTTTACAGGAAACTCAAAAAGAATATGCACATTTCTCTAAGATGCAGTCCACAGGGAAGAAAAGATGGGGAATGGGAAGGATTAACATGCACAAGAGAAACTATGACAACATGCTACCAATACATCTCATTAACCAGAAGATAGGGTTGGAAGGCTAGAGATGTGAATTCAGTCTCAGGGGAACAAATAAGTGTTTTCCCTTCACCTATGCAAGTGCTGAGATTTGAATCCTCATTTGAAGAGCTCTCCATAATCTCATCTTTATAGAAGAAGTGTCATTGGTTCCAGTTTGTACCTGTGTTCTCACCTAGGCTTCACCAAATCAAGAAACAGATTTCTTGTCCCCAAAAAATCCCTTTTTATTTGGCTACTGTGAATTCCTAGATTCACATCCAGCAAAGACCCAGGAAACAGTCTTTCAAGGGTGCATTGCAACAACAGACTTTATCAGTCCTTGGATAGTTGCTAGGCTGATAGCTTCCAGGCTCAATGGTGCACAATAAAATACTTGGCAATGAGTCTCTGTGAGGCACGGGCTCAGATAAGCAAATCTTCACACTAAAAAACAAACTAATTGTCTCCTGCGCACACCACTCACCTTTTGCTCCTATTTATTTCCTATGGGAGTGGCCATTCAGCATTCAGTTGTGTCTTTACTCCCGAGTCAACCTCTGTTCCTGAATTGTTCCCTTCTTCTGACAGCTCTCTGCATGTGCACATCCGGAGCAGGCTCCAGCTGTTCTTATGTCCCAATTATCTCTGACTCCAAAGGTAGCTGATAACTGTCAACTTTCTGATAACTGTCAACTATCAGACAGCCCTGGCCCCATCTCTGCCTCCTATGCAGAGCCCTCGTTAAAGCCTTCCCCAGGATCCAGAACTGGCCCATGTTCCTCCCCAACCTCTTCACTGTCCGAGTCTGCCCCCAGCTCTGCTGGCCACTGGTGGGCCACAACAACCTGATCTTCCTCCTGCATTGCATATAGCCTGTCCCACCAGGCATTTTTGGCAGGGCTATCCTTGTCAATTGACCTTAATGTAGCAGAGAATAGAGTTTATGACTCCAACTAAATGAATTCCAATCTCTTCTAACAGAGTTCAATTTTAAAGCTATCTGGAAGAAGAATAGCTTTAGCTGTACAGAAATAATCACATTCTAGTAGCTTGCAATGTATTAATATAGAGGCCCGGCCACAAGAAGTAATTGTCCCATAGTACTTTGTCTTGTTCAGGGCCCATTTGGAATAGTTTGGTTCTGGATACTACAATCTATGAAGAATATAGACAAACTGGAATACATTCAGAGGAAGATGATTAAGTAGGTGAGCAGGGCTGAAAACAAAGTCCTGTGAGAAACAAAAAAGATGGGTGTCTTTAGCCTGCAGAAAAGAAGATTAAGGGGAGATGTGGCATGGAAACAGTTGGCATGTAATGGAGGAGCTGGACTTGTTCTCTGCTACAACCAGAACAAATGGACTAAAGCTAGATGGATTTAGGTTGGATATAGTGGAAGAGGGTGAAATGGCATGTTCCCCCTGTACTGGAGGTTTTTAAAGAGAGGCAGAAAGTTTGAAATGCTTTAGCTGATTTTACACTAGGAAATTGGACTTGATCTCTGAGGTCCCTTCCAGTTTAATGATTCTGTGAAAATAGTTTTTTCACCCAGTCACTACCAACAAAATAGCAAAGTTGGTCTAGCAATGTGCCTGGAATTCTCAAACTTGCATAGACATGTAGAGAGGTTCTTATTTTCTGGCACCTTTTCTAACTTACCTTGAGTATGAAATTACATCTGGAGGCATTTTGAGATGTGATTGGCTCCAGTATAAAAGAGCTAATGTATTATAGAAATAAGTAGTTTTTAATGTAACACATCTGTAGATGATCACATGAAATCTATCTTCTTTTGTTTATAGTGGGAAAAGCAGATAATTTTGCAGACACTACTCTTTTCCATTGCATTTATTATGGTTATTTCTGATATCCCCATGAAATATTTTCTTCTTCTAATATATCTACTGGTGATTTGTTGATATTTTAAAAAGCTTATTTGCTGAGCCTGAAGCTAAATAAGATAGATGTGCCTTTATTCCCAGCAGTGTTTCCAGTGTGTTTAAACTGTAAAATTGAATCATATGTCATGGATGTTGATATTTGTGGAACAATCGCAACAGTTGGATTTTAAGATATAGTGATTTAGGTAGTACTGGAATGTGTTTGATCTTTAGATACCCATTAATAAATAGAAGTAATGCTCTGTAGGGATTCTCAAACCTTTTAGTCTGTAGGCATATTTGGAATGTTGAAGGTTTATTGTCAATATTCTCATAAAAAGCTGCAAGAGAATGGAGAGAAAACATCTATTTAGTGGCATAGAATAGTCTCCTATTACACAGGGAGGGGGGAAGAGAGAGAGAGAGAACACCTGCTGAAGATTCCAGGTGTCTTGCTAATAGAAACTTAACACATTTCAGTAAATAGTTTTTGGATATATACAGTAATATTCTTTCCTGGAAAGTGGAAAAACATAGATGTCCAGATTATAGATATCGTAATTTCATGAAAGGATCACTTGTGGCCAGGCAACAGACAAAAAGCAATGTTCCAAAAGTTATAGTCCACACCAGTCAAGGTTCCAAAAAATGATGATCAGGGTCCAAGCATTGAAAAATAGAACTGTCACATTCAAGTGTAAAGTAACTGATCACACAGACTTGCAATCAGATGATGTTACTGACAGAAATGAGCTAGAAAGGAAATATTTTATGTTTGAGTATATTGTTATATATCCCTTCTTGGTGATGCCTAGCTAACTAGATGTCCACTTACAGCCATTCTTTCTTAACAGGCACTTTTGCAATTTTATTTTATGTAATGTTATATAGCACTTCATAATGCTTTACAGCCCTCTCTAAGTGGTTTACAGATTCATCATATTGCCTCCAACAGTCTAGGTCCTCATTTTGTAAGGCTCAGAAGGATGAAAGAGTGAGTCAACTTTGAGCTGGTCAGGATCTAACTCTTGGCAGTGGGCAGAGTCAGCCTGCAATACTACATTCTAACCACTGCGCCACCAGGACTGCTCAAAAAGCAGGGAGAGAGGAATAAAAAACAAAAAGGAGAAACGAAAATCCAGAGAATAACACCATGGTCTTAACTTAAGTGAAGAGTATGAATTTGTCAATTTTACTTAGATAATAGAAACAGGGTTAATTGCTTACAAATGGTAGAAATATCATTTAAGGATGTGACATGGAAATTACCTTAAAGTTATACA